ATCTCAGATACAACATCTCATTTACCTTCTACTTCGATTCCAGAACCTTACTGCCGATACTCTTACTATTTCAAATGTACAACCAGACAACCATATTATCAGTACATTCGACTTAAAGACTCTAAAAGACAGTTCCACAGAAAACCCCCTATTCCATCTCAATGTCAAGACTCTGATACTAGACAATGTAGACGAAACAATCATCTACCGGATATTCAGCCGGTATATCTTTGCCGACCAAATAGAAATACACATTCTCAATCAGTATTTCCAGAATCTAGCCATTGCCCAGATTCTCTCCCTACCCATAGGCCGGCCAATATCAAGACTTGTGCTCAATGACTTTGCCGAGCTGAACGAAGTCCGATATTATAGGAAACCAGACACAAACGAAGGCTTCTCTCTCTTCAAGTATATTAAGGAATTCAAAGATAAGAATAAGAGTGATGAAGATGAGAATGAAGATGATAAGGATGATAAGAATAAAGATAAGAATGATGAAGATGATAAAGATAAGGGTGATGAAGATGATAAAGATAAGGGTGATGAAGATAAGAATAAGAATACGAATGATGAGGCTGGTAGCTTGAAACAAGATCTAGGCTTACACAAACTATGTCTACTAGTAAGCAAAGCTGAAAATAGTTCGTATAGTAGTGTTTTAACTGAACTTACCAGCCATGGCATTCATAACGTTATTGACCTAGACAAGTCTGAAGCTAACAGTACTATAACTCGGCTTAACCAGACTATTATGGTAGAGAATGAAATTCTAGATGTGCATGGTGTGACTGTTGATCTCTTAAAATCAGACCTAGCTCTTTACCAGCAGCCTAGCCAGCTTCAATCAAACCCAAACCAGCCCCGCCAACCCCAACAGAAATTCCTTAGGAAACTATCCTTAGACTTCTGCAAGAACCAAAACCTAACCAAAGCCGACCTAATAATCATTATTCAATGGGCCCTCTGTCGATTTAAGAATCTCCTAACCATGAAGATAGTTGAAGTCAATATATCCAACAACGAACAAAAAGAAATCACGACTCACGCCTATTGGACCGAAACCAAATATACTCTCCACCAAATTCAAATAATACCCACCAAACCAAACCAACCACCCATCAACTTAATAATCCGATCCCTCCGCAACTGTATCCTTACCAGCACAACCAAACACGAGCACGACTTCATCGTAGCATCATCCACTACTCTAGCCCACCTTAGCACCCACCCCAAGCAACCTAACACTCATCCCAACCAACCTAACGACCCCATTCATCAGCACATCACACTCAATTCCTTCTTCCAATTCCTCTCCGCCCACCATCTCAAAAGCACAACCACTCCAATACTAACCCAATGTATCTACTGCTCCCGGGTCCCATACATGGCCACTTCAACCGAAGAACCCGCGACCAACAACCCCCACCTCCATTTCAATCCAAGCATTCACTTCAACGCCCTTTGCTACTTTAATTGTGTCCACCCAATTTGCAACCACTGTCTATTCCACTGCCAAGCCCAGCAGCAATTCAACTGTCCCATCTGCCAATACCCATACACCTGCCAATACCCATACCAACTCATCATAATCCGTCTCAGCCACTTCATCTTTACTAGACCCACCCCCACTACTCCACCCCCAAGGCCAGAATGGCTCGCCGACCCCTCCACACCCGACAGCCAAGTCTATTTATGTGTCCCCCACCACAGCCTCAACACTCTCACCACCGAGCTCAATGCCGAAGCCATCCATATCCACACCCGCCGCCACTACATCATCTATCCCCCACCCCAATAAACCACCCACTACTTAGTTAGTTACTACTTACTTAGTTAGTTACTAGTTACTACTTAGTTAGTTAGTTACTAGTTACTACTTAGTTAGTTAGTTACTATTTGCTTAATACTATAATACTATCTAGTTACTTGCTAATATTTACTCAGCACTATCTAGTTACTACTTAGTACTTACTGTTTACTTACTGCTATCTACTTAATACTTGTTTATTACATTTACTATTTACTTAATACTATCTACTTAATACTATCTACTTACTTAGTACTTACTACTTACTCACCAAAAACAACTCAATACACAATCTAATCTAATCTAAACAACCCAATAAACAACCAAAAACACAATTTAATCTAATCTAACCAAAAACAACCCAATACACAATCTAATCTAATCTAACCAAAAACAACCCAATACACAACACAATCTAATCTAACCAAAAACAACCCAATACACAATCTAATCTAAACATAACACAACTCAAATACAAACTCAATTTATCGGGCCAAAAACTAACGCATTTATTTGCTTGGCAACATCCGCCTTTTCGTTACCTTGCGCCCCTGAGCATAAGGATAGGCCGGAGAAATAATCACCTCATCCCCTAAAGACCCATCTTGCTTAATCGTCTCCAGTGTCCCTAAAGCAATATTCCGTTCAGCCTCAGTCTCAAACTCCAAGAAAGCATACTTCTTCTGTCCTACTGCTAAGCCCTTAGCCGAAACAAACTTCGTCTTAGGCATAACTTTACCATCCAAAGCCTGATGTAAATCTTCATCTGTAAATTCATCAGTTAAATTCCCTAAGTAGATCTTCGTCTTGTAATTCACTGGAGGCTTCTTAGCTGCTTTGTCTTTACCAGACTTAGCAAAGTCCTTATCCAAATGAATACCAGCAAATTCTATCTCCTTAGCAATAGCTTCCTGAGCATCATCAGAAGAAGAGTACTCAACTACTACATAACAACTCTCTGAGTCACCACGAGTATGCTTATGAATCTTTACAGCAATTATTAAGTTAGATATCATACTTAGATAGGTCATCATGCTCAGAAACACGAACCAAATTACATAATCACATAACTTACATTTCACCTGTTTCTCTTAAGGCTTCTACTACTTCAAGCATAGTAGCATCCTTAGGAACATTCTTGATAATCATTCGTACACCTTTATTAAGAGTGTCTGCCATACAGGGGTAAAAAATAAAGAAAATATAGTTTCACCTTGGCGATTGCTGGTTATCTATTGATTTAAGAAGTGTATGGAAAAGAGTAAGTTTAGGAACTGAACCAATGAAGAGTAAGTGGGCTATATTCTTCTCTGAAGTAAGTATGAGTTCTAAAAGACCATCGGATCTATCTAGTTCAGATTTAAGTGGGTCAATAAAGAGAGTGTTCTGGTGGGTTGAGTTATGTTGAGTTGAGTTATGTTGAATTGAGTTATGTTGAGTTGAGTTTGTGTTGGTAGTATTAAGATTGGTGTTGGTATTAGAAGATAAGTTAGTAGTAGTAGTAGTGGTATTAGTATTCAGATTAGTAGTGGTAGTAGTGGTATTCAGATTAGAAGACAAGCTAACATGAGAAGATGTGAGTAAGTTTGAAATGGGAAGGAAGAGAAGAGTTTGGGGGAAGAGTTGGTAGTTGGGGGTGAGGGTGAGAGGACGAGTGGAAATGTGCTGGAGATGGGGTGGGAGGTGGGGAAGATGAAGTTGGCGGCTGGGGAATTGAAGATTAGATAGAGAAGTTTGAATAGCTGTAATGGCTAGATCTAGAAGACCACCTTGATCTTGAGCAATGAAAAGGTCTATTTTAATGGACCAGACGGCTACTTTAGGAAGAATAGTTAGTTGGTTGAGATTGAGGAATTTGTTATCACGACAAAGTCTTTCTAGTTGGGTTTGTAAATGGGGTTGAGAAGTAAAGATAGAAAGAAGACCTTGAGTTGGATTATCGGCTGATGGTTGTTTGATTTCTATTTGTGTATAGCAAATGATAGTGGAAGAATAAAGCTTTTCTGTGGAAAGGTCCCAGAACTTGCGAATAAGGAGGGAATTAGGGAAGGAAAGGACTTCAATCTTTCTGGAATGGCAAGGAAAGCGGCCATCTATACGAGTAGTCTTATGGGGCATCAAATTATTTTTTCATGGAGTATCGTAGTATTAGTACAGCCGTTATCTCTTTAGGATTTGGAGGGGGAGAAGAGAGTTTAAAAAGGAATCCTTACTTGACACAGATTAATGGATGGCTTAAGGGTGATGAAGAAGAGGTTGGAGAGATATTTAGGTTTAAATTAGAGCAGAATAGTTACTATGGAGTGATAAGTAGTTCAGGACGAGTGAGTTGGTTTGGAGTGGCTGGTAGTGCAACATACTTAGGAACGTATGATTTAGTAGTAAATGAACAGTATACTAATATCTTTGCTTTTCTAGACCTATCTGCTCGTCGAGATAAAATGGGTTTGAGTTTGAGTGGAGTAAGTAATGGTATGGGTTTGAGTGGAGTAAGTAGTGGTAGTAGTAGTGGTAGTGGAGTAAGTAGTAGTACTGGAGTAAGTAATAATAGTATTAGTAGTGGTAATAGCAATGAAGTAAGTAGTAGTATTAGTAGTGGTAATAGTAATAATGAAGTAGGTAGTAATAGTAGTACTGGAGTAAGTAATGAAGTACCCATTGAAGTACCCATTGAAGTACCTAATGGAGTACCTAATGAGTGTGTACGGGTGGGAGTTAGTACGGCAGTTGTTTTTGGTCGAGAGGAAGTGTTTATTGCTGGTGGTGGCTGGATTAGAAGGTATAATAGAAGTGGTGATAAAATTGGTGAGATAGAGAGTGGACTTGGTGAAATTAGTTGGTTGTACTTATCTTTATGTGGTTGTTATTTGTTAATTAAGTATCAGAAAGGTAGTTTACATCTTTATGATTTAAAACGGCTGGTTTATATTTACCAGAAGAAACATATGAATGGTTTAACAAGTATTTTTGGTGACGTCATGAAAGATATGACTTTTATTACTATTTTAGGCAAGTCTTTATGGCTAGGCCGGATTTGGACATTAGAAGTCCTTTTAGAACTAACTTATCCTGAAGACCTTTTAGTAGCTACTATGGACCTTTTACAAAGAAGAATAGTAGTAGGTACTCATACGGGTAAGATCTACCAAACAAGATTAGATGGAGAACCAAGTGAATTTATTGAAAGTCAGATATCTAAAGATCCGATTAGTACTCTTTTCTTTGCTCCTTGTGGGACAATTCTCTATGCAATTTCTGGTGGCAGCTTATTAAGTATTAGTATGAAAGATGGGAAGGTATTAAGGACAATAATGACTGGGAAAAGACGATTTAGATTCAGTAGAATGACTAGCAGCTATTTACATTTGGAATAGTGAATAAAATTTAATGGAGGATAATGACGTGGCACAACTTAAGTTACTTATTATTGGTGAGAGTGGGGTGGGTAAAACTTCGATCTTACAACGATTCATTGAGAACGTCTTTAAGAAAGGATTTACAAGTACAATTGGGATTGATTTCCGTTCTAAAAGGATTAAAGTAGATGGAGTAGAAGTTGAGTTGCAGATTTGGGATACAGCTGGACAGGAAAGGTTCTTTTCGATTACTAAGAGTTACTATCGGGGTTCAGATGGAATATTTTTGACCTTTGATATCTCTTCTGAGAACTCATTTAGAAGTACTGAGAAGTGGATGGCAGCTATTCGTAGTAAGGTGGATGAGAATGTGCCTATTTTCTTATTGGCTAATAAGAAAGACTTGATTGATAGTGGGGCAATGGACTCTTTAAGAACAGTCCAGAACATTAAGTCTTTATCTGGGGAGTTAGGAATTCCCTGGTATGCTACTAGTGCGCAAAGTGGAGAAAACATTGAAGAGATCTTTACTGATATGGCCCGAATTATCTTGAGTAAGAAGCAGCCAAGTCAGCCTAAGAAGAAGAAGAGGTTTACCTTCTCAACTAGATCACTTAAGAAAGCTTTCTCTTGCTGGTGAGTTTAGTATTGAGTTTAGTATTGAGTTGGGTTAGGTTGAGTTGAGTTGAGTTGAGTTAGTAATAAAGAAGTTTACTATGTAATTGGTTTAGTTTAGTTTAGTTGATATGACTCTGTTGTTTATAATAGCCTAATTGGTTGTATCTTGTGTAATTTAAAGTATATGCTGTTATTGTAATAAGCACAACTTAATAGTATCTCAATTTAACTTATCTCAACTTAGTATTCACTTAACTCAACTCAACTCAATCTTAACTTAATATTCACTTTACTCAACTCAACTCAATCCTAACTTTACTTTACTTAACTTAATAATATCTATTTGTAAATTTCAATTCAATCCTAACTCTATTCTGGTTTGGTAGACTTTGCTTCTTTTTTAAACCAACTTAGCCAAATCCAATCTAAATCCAACTCAACTCAATACACTACTAACCCAATCCAACTCAATCTAAACCCAATCTAACTTAACCCAAACCCAACCCAACCCAATACCAACTCAATATCATCTTTATTCAAAACTTAAACTGACTCAAAATACTATCAAAACACTATCAAAATCAAGAGATAAGCAGTAAAACTCGTAACTTTGACCCGAATATTGCCATATAATGAAAGAAATTTGCTACCCCTGGTAAAACTAATAGTCTTCTCTAGTAATTGGCCGTTGATTATTTAACGGTCTCGTTCCAGAGAAGCACATTAATCCTGTCCTGGGTGAGGCTGTAGATGATTTTACTGTCTCAATAGGACCGACACATTTTAATCTGAAAATCATCTGATCCAAAAATTAACATCTAGATATAATATAAATCGAACCAATCTTGTCTTTTATGGAGATAGATCTCGATGAGAGCATATTTAATGAGGGCATGGATAAATACTTAGAGATAAAGTCTGAACTGTATGGAGTCTTTAGTACTGAGATTGATAATTCAGAAGTACAACTAGCCAGTAAGATAGACTTAAGTATCCTGCAAAGTGCTAATGCTTCTTCTTTGATAGAACAAGTCCATTCTGAACTGTTTAGTCTAGATAGATCTTATTGGGAGCCAGAACCTTCCTTAAGAATTGCTGTTCATGGTTTACCCCAAAGTAGTTTAGTCTTTATCCAACATACGCGTGAACTGCTAGCCAGACGTTTAGAAATGCCAGTTATATTTTGTGGTGAGAGATTGCGAGAAGCCTCACATATTCTAATTAGTACGAGTGCTGGGACTAGATGTCCTTTAGACTGTGCTTATGTTCTAGGTATTTTACTGGGTATTCCGGTTGTTTCTTTTGACTGGTACTTGGACTTGTTTAATTATACTGGTAGTTTAAGTATCAAAACAATTACTCTGCTTAATTTAGTGCAAGGTGAGATTGAACCTAGAAATGCAGTAGAAATATCTTATCTCTTTAAACCAACCCAGGGATTTTTTGCCAATACGTACTTGGAACTATCAAATGATATCTCTTTTTATGCCCGGGAAATCATTGAGTTTTGTGGTGGAACTACTTCTTCAGCTAAAAAGCCGGTTGTGCAAGTGCATTCGGATGAGGACTTACTAGCTTTGATTCTGGGTTCATCACAACAGATGAGTTTGCCAGCTTTGTTTACCGTTCGGTCTAGATCGGGACGGAAACCTCCTCTGAAAAGTCCTCTATTTAAAGACTAGAACGTGAATGTGCTTGGGGTTCTTAAGGAAGAGTACTCCATCGGCAAAGACAATTTGTTCGTTTTTACCCAGATGGATCTCTTCATAGACACTCTTTTTAGCATAAATGACTTGAATGGTGGCTGAGCGGATTTTAAGAGTGATTTCACCTAGATTGAGAGTACGTTCTTTTTGCGTGGTTGAGTTGATGCGGCATTCATTGGTTTGGACTTGTTTTTGGATGGAAGCTAAGATGGGTTTACGTTGGGGACCGAGTGGGATTTCTCGTAGAGATTCATCAAAGATACGCAGATCATGGAAATGACCGGCTAGACAGAGGTACCCGCCTAGGAAGAAAGCTTTAGTAGAGGTGGTAGCTCGAGTGAAGAGTACAAATTCCTGGAAGACTTCAGCAGTATTAGGGACTTTCTTAGTGCAGAGAAGGATAAGGACTCGACTTAGAACATCAAGTACTGAGAAGGATAGTTCGCCGGTTCTTAGTAGGAAGACAAAAAGAGCGCCTGGTGCTTCCCAAATCTTATCTAGAGTATATGTAGCCGAGATAGTGAAAAGTTTCAAGGTATTCTTGGCGGTTACACCTAATAAATGGTTGTTTTGTACGTTGATATAGATAAGTTCTTCTTTTAAGTTGATCTTGTAGGCGGGGCCTCGTTGTTCGTAGTGGGTGGGAGTAGGTCTATCTTGTAAGATAGCTCGGGTGCCAATATCTTTGTTACGGATGGTTTCCCAGCGGACTTGGCCGCGGCGTTGGAGGTGCATTTCGGCTTGGAGTTTATCTATGCGGGCTTTAGGTGCTAAGCGGGCATCACGTAGTTCAGCTAGGCCGCGTTTGAATTCGGCTTCTAAATGGACGAGGATTTCAGCGCGTTGTCCATCGGCGGAGAAGCTTTCTAAGGGTGCGGGCGGGATGGGGTAAGTTTGTTCCCAGTTGGGTTCTTTGTTTGGCATAGGAGTAATCTTGAGTTCGTATTTCTTTACGTGTTTAGAAAGTTATTGGCTGGTAGTTCTTTATTGTCTTAAAGTATAAATGAAGGGATTAGATTGCATTGGCAGAATAATTTTGATTTTGTAAGTACTTATCATAACTCCCTACTCACTCCTGATCACACTATAAATCACATTTAGTCCAACTGACCAGAAAATACTCCCAAGTAAACTCTAGACTAAATAGAAGATTAGTATGGGATTGTTTTGATTCCTAGTTACTTTATTACTATTTATTGGCGTGGCAAAGCAATTACATGTTTATTTTAGGAGGTACACGTCAGAGAGCAGGTGGCGTAGAAAAGAAACGAGATACGCCGCCGGCTGAAGAAAGACATTTCTTTGTTAATGCAGCAGCCGATCGGATGCACAATAATCTGAAAAGCAAAACAGTTAAATATCCTCAGAATCTTATCTGCAATCAGAAATACTCAATTCTAACATTCTTGCCTTTAGTCTTTATTCACCAGATGAAACACTTTTTGAATGTTTTCTTCCTGTTTGTCATGATTTCACAACATTTTGAGTTAGTTAGAGTTTCACATCCTTTTACATCTTTATTCCCTTGGTTGTTAGTTCAGATTCTAGTGTATATCAAAGAGGGATATGATGATTTCAAAAGATACCGTCGAGATAAGGAGGCTAATGATACAATGTGCACTAGGTATACGGCAGGAGGACCTGTACGAGTTCCTGCTTCAGAACTAGCAGTAGGAGATCTGGTGGTAGTCAGTAAGGACGAGCGCGTACCGGCCGATGCTATGCTTCTCAAAACCTTAGATTCAGCTGGATCTTTGTTTGTACGTACTGATCAACTGGATGGTGAAACTGATTGGAAGATAAAACTAGCCCATGCCGCTATGCAATCAGTTCGGTCGTTTGATGAAGTCGCGCAACAGTACATGGAGATAGTAGCTGAGGCGCCTAGTCGGGAAATATACACCTTTAGTGGCAAACTGCATATAGATGGACGCAGTCATCGAGCGCATGAGGAGAATATGCTTTGGATGAATATGGTGATTGCTGGAGGGACAGGTTTGTGTATTGTAGTGTATACTGGTAAAGATACAAGGGCAGTAATGAATACAACTCAGCCTAGGAATAAGTTTGGACTAGTTGATGCTGAGTTGAATTTCTATACTAAAATACTGTGTAGTGCGGCTTTTGGTATTGCTGGTATCTTTACATTGTTACGAGGGACTTCTGCTTTGTGGTACATTACTTTGGTTCGTTTTTTGATTATCTTCTCTACTGTGATTCCGATCAGTTTACGAGTGAACATAGATTGGGCGCGACTGGTTTATGCCCGGGGAATAGAGAAAGATCCCGATACAAATATTGTCGTACGTAACAGTAGTATTCCGGAAGAACTTGGTCGGGTTGCTTATCTCTTAACGGATAAGACAGGTACTTTAACTAAGAACGAAATGGAGATTCGTAAAATGCACACGGGATCTCTGTGTTATACTCCCGAGTCGGCCGCGGAAGTACATGAAGCAGCTGCTGCCCCAAGAACGGCAGCTGATCATGCTGCTCATGCTCTACTTCTAGCTATGTGTCTCTGTAACAATGTGATGCCCTGTGAGGAGAATGAAGTACGTGGATACATTTCCTCTAGTCCTGATGAAATGGCCATGGTACGTTGGGCAGAACGAGCCGGAGTTGTGCTTTGGGCTCGTGGTCCTAACTGGGTAGAGGTCCAGCACGGTCATGGTGAGATTGTTCGGTATACTGTCTTGTATAACATTAGGTTTACGAGTGAGAGTAAACGAATGGGTGTAGTTGTTTCAACGGAGGACGTGCACACTCTTTATATGAAAGGGGCCGATTCAGCCATGGCCGGCTTACTACAGGAACGCGACTGGGTTGAGGAGGAGGCAGAAGCTATGGCCCGGGAAGGGTTGCGCACAATGGTCTTCGGCCGCCGAACTGTAACGGCAGAAGAAGCCGCTGAGATAGCAGCCGGGGGACAGTTGAGTGAGGAAGGACTTGAGGCACTCGGCGTAACGGGAGTTGAGGATAAACTAGCCACGGGTGTGCGAATTTCATTGGAAACTCTGCGGAATGCCGGGATTAAAGTATGGATGCTAACTGGGGACAAAGTTGAAACTGCGCGGTGCGTAGCTTTATCATCACGACTGTTCACGCGGTACCACCAAGTCCTGACGGTAACTGGAGTTAAAACACGAAGTGAAGCAGATACGGCTCTTGGTCGGATTCAAAGGGGTCGGGACTGTTTAGTAATTGACGGAGTGAGTTTGCGCGTACTGATGGACGTTTATCCGGAGCAGTTTATATCTGCGGCGTGTAAGTTAGTAGCGGTGGCTTGTTGTCGGTGCTCGCCGACCCAGAAGGCCGAAATAACAGCAGCGATTGCTAAGATCAGTGGGAAGCGGGTTTGTTGTATTGGTGATGGCGGGAATGATGTGAGTATGATTCAGCAGGCCCATGTTGGTGTAGGTATTGTTGGTAAAGAGGGGAGACAAGCCTCTTTAGCCGCCGATTTTAGTGTAAATGAGTTTCAGGATATTGTTGATCTGATCTTATGGCACGGTCGGAATGCCTATAAGAACACGGCGAAATTAGCGCAGTTTATTATACACCGGGGAGTAACCCTGGGAGTGGCTCAAGGGATCTTTTCGTCTTTGTTTAGTTTTTGTCCTATCTCTATCTACCAGGGTAAGATATCAATTGGGTATGTGACTTTTTATACGTTTTTGCCGGTGTTTAGCATTGTCTTATCTAAAGATACCACGAAAAAGGTGGCCCATAAGTTCCCGGAGTTATATGCTGAGATATCAAGTGGAAGTATGCTGAATAACAATACGTTTAGTACGTGGATGTTGATGGGATACTACCAGGGAGTGACCATTATGGTTTTGGCCCTGCTCTTCTTTGAAAGCATGCTTGTGCAGTTGGTGAGTATTACCTTTTCGTGTCTTGTTCTGAACGAGTTGCTGATGGTCTTTTTGTGTGTTAGCAAGGTGCATATGACTATGATATTTAGTCAGACTGTGTCAGTGCTGATGTACTTGCTGAGTTTTAAGTTGTTATCTGATGAGATTCAAGTGCCTTCACAATGGGTGCAGTTTTGGTTGCAAGTACTACTGATCAATATTGTGGCTATTCTTCCCGGGATTATCCAGTGGGTTTGGAAGTATTGGATGAGTCCTCCTAGCTATCGCAAGATTCAGTCTACTTATAGCTAGTCCCGGTGTAGCCAATTCTAATAAACTTGGTGCTGCAATAAATAACGAGATTTCGCATCTAAATTCGGATTTACTTGTTAGGTTAGGCATGTAATAGGTCATAGTAACTTGATAGGAGTTATGAATAGAAAAATATGATATTTAGATAGATTGGGTTTGATAACTTTATCTTGGCCTTAATATCTTTGCTTTTATTTGCATAGTTTATATCCTTATCTCGGCACATGAATAACGTATCCAAAACCTATAGGCAGACCCAATCGGGACATGCACAGAACTATTCCCGTAATCACCGAGGTATTTTGTCTTCCAAATGTATCGCCAAGTATACTCTTAATAAGAAGACAGATACAATTAGCACTGAATGCTTTAGAGTTGCGAAGTACTGTATAATTGGTATTTGCAGCTTGCTTGTGTTGTTGCGTGGTGTTAGCGGATCAAGTAATGCTAGTGCGAGCACTGAAGTTGATGATAGTACTTTGAGCGTGGGTGGTGTATTGGCTGAGAAGATTCCATTCAAGTCGCGCGAGGCATGCGGTGTAATGCAAATATTGGCATCAGCTGAAGTTCATCTTAGCCACGCGTGTACATCTGTGTATAGGCTGCCTCAATCTAGTGCACCACTCAATAAGTCCATCTTTGATTCAAATTTGATAACACAGACTTGCCAGTATGCAGTATTGTTTAAGGATTCACCAGTTGCAATTGGATTGCCTACCTACTCGGATGGAGAGGAGGCCAAGATGTGCTTAAATAGACTAAGCCAGATCGTGGTTATTAGGTCTACCACTAATGCTAACACAAACATTTATGTTTCCCATCGAGCCGGTGGTTTGGGCTGTCATCTAGTGAACTTGCAAATTCTATACCGAGCGATTAACCTACTTGATTGTGCGGCGATAGAGCTTTGCTTTGAAGATGGTTGGGAAGAAGCAATGAAGAATAATGCGTTAGGCTTTGTTGCGGCCCGTCAAGAGGCACGGGATACAGTAGCCAAAACGGATTATAAGTTCAAGTGCCATCTAGTATTCCTAAGTCTAAGAGATAACCCTATGGATTTGGTTTATGGTAGTATTATTCTTGCGAGACAAATTGCCGTCATAACGCTCAATGAAAAGTCGTTATGCTATCTTCACCTTCTTAGTAAAGTAAGACTAGCTGATGACTTTACTCTTATTCTGCTTAGTCTGCCACAAGAGGGTAATGTTGATTTGAGGTTTCTCCAAGATATATATATTGAGCGTGTCAAAATCGTTATTAACCCATGGATGGCCCCTACTACTCAGATAAACTTTCTTGGTCTTGAGAATGTGATTGCAAACCGTCCGAAGGTAGTCTTAGAGGCATCTTGGGGCGTTCTTAGATATTTAGCCGAACACAGCGTGTCTAAAATACACGTTTGCACTGTCTTGGGCCTAGATATCGGCCACCTTTTTATCCGACAAATAACGGACAATACTCGCAGAGATGCACCTTCTGAGCCGAAGATAATTGCTAAAGAGATCATCTTAACACTATCTAGTGAGCTGCCATGCAAGCAACTTAATAACTATAAGCAGATCTTCAGTCAAACAATCATTGCTAAATATGGCATCTCAGCCGATGAAATTCATGTCAAGTACGGGAAGTGCCAACAGGACTTCTATAAAACTCTATGGACGCTTTACAATATCCAAAGTTTACCCGCAACCGTACTAAATGACTTAAGCTGGAAAGGACCGAACTATATTGATTGTTGCGGTGAGGAACTTAGCAATCCTACCTGGAAGCTTCCAGAGACAGTTGATATCCAACTCGGCAACTCTCTAATCAGCAGGCTCACTAAGGAATTCTCGTACGATTCGAATCCGATATTTTGTCAAAACATGCGCTACTCAACGATCAGAATAACCGGAACTATTGGACAAGCATCATCTCAGATACAACATCTCATTTACCTTCTACTTCGATTCCAGAACCTTACTGCCGATACTCTTACTATTTCAAATGTACAACCAGACAACCATATTATCAGTACATTCGACTTAAAGACTCTAAAA